TCCTAAACCAATATCATATCCCTGTCAGCTATTACCGCATCCAAGGTACTCTTTCTTGGAAAGCTGACTTACCCGCTATACCAATATCATATCCTCATCAGTCATTACCGCATCTAATATACTCTTCTATGGGTTTGACTTACCTCCTGAATCAAACGTAAAGCTTCATTATTCACCAGCCTATCCTACCTCCCGAGGAACTACTTACCTTCTTAACCTTCATTAGATGTCGTGCGCTTTTATTGTCTGTTCAGACTTGATACTTACCACAAACGTTTCATGTATCCAACCTGCATAAGCCGATCCAGAAGTCATTGTGAGCCAGAACCTTGATAAGAAAGCCACTAGCAGCAAGCAGTTTTCGTACTCTCCACTGGGTTGTTGGGGATGGGAGAAGAATTATCTTCCCGTGCAAGTTGATGGTTGTTCTGATGCAAGGCCAGCTGGCTAGGCCAGAATGACTAATGCGGGGTCACAGCGGCAAGAAGGAACTTATCATTGGTTAAACGAAGACTCACTTGATATATGTCACATCTACCCCAAAACCATTGTTTCTGCATGTCCTCCTTAATGGCAGTGACTCTTATTTCACTCACCTAACAGCATAACGTAACAAACTGCCTTTACCAAGTCACTTCATCTTTCGTCCTTACTGTATGTTCTTCCGGAGCGGAACCATGGGCGGGTCACGGAACCCTTCGACATGACCTTCGGGCCGAGCTAATAGAGCCAATGCTGCCACCACGTCTCGCCGATTCGTCATTTTACCTGCGCCGCTCCCTCAAAGTACTCAAGACCTAGTATATCACAGCCAGATATTCTGAGGGAAGGCAAGAGCGGTGTCGGAGGGTTGCGCACTTACTACAAATAGTATCTACAGCCTTTTGAGAAAGATGATCCAGTCCTGTAAAGGAGTGCATGTCAAAAGTGACAACGGCTTCGACCAACTTACAGTTAGTGTCATCGCTGTCAGCCTTACGACTAATGCATGCTCTCATGTCAGGAAAGGCTTCAGCTGGCAGGCCAGGTAGAATTATTGCGATGAACACCAGTTTCGCTACCTCAGCCTGTTCTGTCAAGTCCGCAGCCCTTGGGTTCCTTGTTCGGACAATTCAGGCAGCGCTAGATTTAGGCAGGGGAGAGTGAAGACGTTCAGATGTTGACAAATCGCCCTATCTCAGTAGCGGCATGCGCCCAGTCACCCACGACCGAAGCATCTACTGTAGAATTCTGTATGGGCTTTACGCCCCCCGTAAGATTGGGTGTAATTTTGAGGGAAATTACAAGACAAACCGGTACCTGCCAAGACCCTAACCTACAGGCTAACTATATACAGACTAGTACAGGTGTTAGGTTTTGGGAAAAGATTCGGGAAGAGTCTGGGGTAGGCAGGGTGGTAGTGCAAAGTACTATATCTAAATTGGATATCCGCGTATTTATTTGAGCAGCCAACGTACACGCATATAAGTTTCGAGAGATTTTCCTGGCCGCAGTTCTGACAAGACGGTAAGCCCTACACAGCCTCCTTCACCGATGGAATTACACGTGTCCCGACTTCTTCCTGATCTGGTTCAGGGCAATGCTTGTATTGGGGAACAACATCTTCCAGAGTCTTAATCATCGGCGTTGGATAGTATCCACTCTATACTCGTTAAATTCGGTAATTGTGTCGCAAAGCCCGCGACTTACCAGCTCTGGCATGGACGGAAGCCAATTCTCCGATGCAGAAGAATTGAAGATATACCTTCGGCCGCTTCCCTTGACCCGTATCATAACGAATACATCGGAGTCACACTCAATACTGTACTGGGCGGCTTTTCTGATCAACGTCTTCTTCAGTTTACTTCTCTGCTGGGTTTTGGCTTTAGAGCTTTCCGATCGACGCCGTTTTCTGAATGGAGCGATCCGAGACATGAAGTCTTCATTTAGAAAATGATAGAAGTGGGAGTAAAGATTGTTGAACATACAGTGGGATTAGTGACCGGATTATATCTGGTCTCTTGTTACGTCTGATGGGTCCGGAGCTCAAGGAACTCTGACTGTTGGCTCATTTCAACAGAGGGCCTTGATTTCCCTGGCACGGTAGATACCCTTCACCTCTCTTATGTGATGACTGTGCATGCCCTGGATATCCCGCATGAGATATGGGTGCATGTAGAGGGTCAGCGGGGATTTCGACCGTTGTATTTCCAACCCATCTAAATCCTGCTGTGGTATATGATCCGGGTGAAACACTGAAAACCGCAATTTCGCACGGAAGCACAGAAGCAAAGAAATGGAGTTAACTAGCTTTAGGCGGCAATGGAGTCTGTAAATTATTTGACCACGGGCAAAAGAGGTTTCATATCCTGTAGATCTTGACGTACGAGATCAGCATACGTAAGGTACGAGAACGCTTCAGAGTAACCCGACACTTTACCACGGTAGAGTCAAGATCCAGCAGTGATTCCATGAGCAACAAGCTGTTCGCTCTTTCAAGTTATTGTTTTGTAATGTTTTCGATTCGCACGTACATACTCTTGCTTCTCGTCCAAATACTCCGGGGTTATGATCGGCGGTATCGATGTAACCCTGCGGCCGGAATTTGTCGTGCACTGCAATACGAACGGTTTATCCACATTGGTCAAAAACAGTTAAATTACACTACTGGCTGCTAACACCGTTCACTTGAACCCTGAGATTCAAACAGAGTTTTGCTTCACCTCCCGTCTCTGACGGTCAATATATGGTGTTTTACTTTCCCCATGCGTCAGCTCTCATTCACCCATACGGGCTCCACGTAGCAGCCACAATCGTGGCCAATATACCGCGCTAGACTAATCTTTTACCAACTTATAATTTCCGGTAGACTTTATTCATCTTGCCACATACCTCCTGCCGCTTTCTACATACGAACCTTGGTTTATTATCGACAGATAGGGCACTGCTCCAGTAGGATTTGATTATAAGCGAAGCTGGGGGACCCGATCGCGGGTCTTGACATTGCTGCTACACTTTGCCCACTGTCACGATTGCAAAGCTCACATTTTTTCACCTTCCACCTTCAGATTGATACTCTTCATTTAGTATGCACACGATTTTCGTGACCAACCA